CAATAAAAAAACCTTAAAAAAGACCTATGAATTATTTAAGAATTTCACGAGGAAACATAACACTGTCGAAAGTAGCCTAGAAGCGAAAATAAGCATCTAGAGAGAGTAAGGTTATCCGTTGAAACGGCCCGAAACGCTCCATTTTAGCCGGACTTAGAAAGATAGTTAATAGGAGTACATGATGATATAAGAGTTCGTTCAAATATCAGCAGGGCAGAGGTGTGTCAGTGTTGCGATATGGGACCGGTTGTATGCGCATGTGCGGCTCTGCGCATGTGCGGTGATGGAGATCCAGTGCCGTTATATGTTATGTGTTGACTGTATGGCGGGACGTTTTGACATGAGAAGGTCTGGTGACTACAAATAAGGTAAGATTTATTTATTTACAAGCATGGAATCTACGGAGCCAGCAGCTAAAAAACCAAGACGTAAAAAATTTCAATCAATTTCAAAAAATTTAGAAATATTTTTAATGTAGCGGGGTAACGGTGCCTTGTTTAATTTGTATGAGACACTGTACTGACGCCGTATTGCCGCACATGCGCATACAACCGGTCCCATATCGCAACACTGAGGTGTGTTTTGGCATCCTCATAGCTCGCAGAGGAAAGCGTAAGCAGTGGGGAGCCCTCTTCGGATTGGCTGTTGCTCTTTGAATGGCCGCCATGGCGCTATGAAGGTGTTGACTACTGCCGATTGAGAGCTCTCTTTTGCTTGGCTGTTGCCATAGAAATCCTGGCAGCCATCAGTGTTGCTAGACGGGACGCTTTTTTTCACGAACGCACTTGAGAATCGGCCTCAACGGTGTACTAATTGAGGAAAAAAAGGGCACTTGTAGACCCTTCTATTAAAAAATTATTAGAAAATTTTGTTTATCGTTAAAAAGTGATAAAAAGTAATAAAATAATAATAAATTAAACGCATGTAAATATTATGTTTATTTTTATAATAATAAAATAATTAATAATATTAATAAAAATAAGCTAAAAAAGGAAAGGATGTTTAAATAATTGTTAATAACATTTTAATAACAATAAAATATTTTATTTGGCAGTAAATTATTTTCCCGTCTTTGCAAGAACTTCTTTAATAATATTGGTGCACTTTGATCGAGCCAGTGAAAGATCTTGCACGATTGAAGAATCTATACAAATGTACTTTTAACAAAGGAACTAAGTGATTTGCGGTATAAAGAGCAACGTTATGTTCAGAATAAAAAGCTGCTAATTTAATTTTGGCTCGTTTAACGTTTTCAATATGAGAATTTTTGGAATGTTGGCTTTGGCTTTGACTTATTTGAGAATTACTGTCACAATTTTTAATATGTTTAGCCCTTTGTGAATGTCGTATTAAATCTGATTTACAACATCTAATGGTAATATTGCACAAGTTACAAATTGCCTTATTTTCCGTAGGATGAGGAGCCAGCCATCCTTTAAATAAATCGTCAGCTAACCAAGAATTTTGAAAATTTTTAATATGCGTCTTTTTAATGGCTCCTTTTGAACTATCCATATTTCGCGTAACAAAAAATACATATAAATATATATATGATATAAATATTATTATTTTTTACATGTACTCACCTAACTTTCTCCTGTAGCCTGTCAAACGTCTAACTTTTCGCGCCAGCACCCAACACCTATAA